TGAATTTCCACTGCTGCCGAGTACTTAAACCAGAAGGATGGCTCAGGAAAATAAAGCTGTTCCTGTAGCGCGCCTGCAGGGATGACAGCATCCAGTGCCAGACCTGTGAAGGTGGAGCCACCCAGAGGTCCTTCTCCTTCACTGAAAACCCATTCTCTGCAAAGGAGAAACTTTCTCCATCCAAATCCTAATGGTAACGTTTGCTTTAAATCACATGAAGAAGCCAGTGCTCCTGCCAGTGATGCTCTTTCTCCCTGCAGGAACCTTCACAGTAAAGACAGATCAAATGTCCTCTTCCTATCCCAAAAAAAGATATTTTTTGGGGGGGAAGCTGTGAAAACTCCCATTATAACCACACTGCTCCTGGAATTTTGCCCTCACAAGCTTCTTACCAGTCAGTGGCATTATGAGCAACTTTCACAGTAAAGGAACTCTTGTCATTTCCTTCTCCCCCTCACTTCTTACCTGCCCAAATGTGAGACCCAATGGAGCCTGTCTCATCTTGCAACCATGCAACAAACACAAGCACAGCCTTTTTGGTTCCAGTCTGTGGAGCCCCTTAAGCTGAGGGGAAAAGAGATGCTGGAGTCAGAGCTCAGTGGACACAGGGCGACCTGGCCAGGCTGCAGCTGCACAATCCGTTTGTGCAGCACCCCGATGGCAGCTCATTCCTCATGGAAACACAAAGCTGAAACCCACCGAGGCAGGCAGGACCACATACCCAAAGCAGCCACCCCGACAGGCTGCCTGTATGGATTTTTCCTCCTATTGATTAACCCATTTGGAGTTGTTTATTTATATTAAGGCTGCCTTGCAGCTCATTTATGTTCTCTTAATGAGGCCCCCGCACAGGCAATGCCTCCTGCGCATTAATTACAGGCTCCAGCACAGTCCATGCTTTATGGAGCATCCTCCCACCCATGCTCCAGCTCCACACTGTGGTTCGTACAACACTTGCCTCCTTAGGATAGGTGCCAGCACTGCCAAATCCCAGCCCTGGGCTGCTGTCCCCGCAGCAGGACAAGAGGTGCACATTCTCAAAGGGGGAGCATAAACAGCTCTGGAATAGCTGAGCACATTGGGAAGGAATGACCATTCACAACACATCCCTTTTATAGTAGCAGGGATGCAGAATAAACCACTGTCGTAGCTTCAGTCGACAATGAACAGCAGTATCAGAGGCCAATGATTTCCTTTTCCAGGGAAAGGAATGAAGATGTTCCATTTCATCTTTTTCCATATTCCAGGAGCTCGGTGCCAGCCACTCCATCTGCAGCAGCTGGCACAGTCCTTGTCCAGCTGTCAAAGCAGCAGCAGAAATAAACGCTGCTCCAAATAAAAGTGGTGCACCTCTAAGAAACCCTGGAAAATCACTGCTGGTAGTTGTTAGACACGCAAATACCAAATGGATATCTATCACTTGTTATTTCTGGATTACAAAAATAAGGGTATGATACCAACAAACAGTAGAAAAGCTTAATAAAAAAAGAACTGAAGCAAGATGCACACAGAAAGACTGACAAGCAAATAACCAAAAATTCAACTTATCATTAAGCAGTAGAAGTGACAGCAGCAAGGAAGAGCTGGTGGTTCAATAATTAACCCTGAGCTCAGTTCAGATTTAAAACCACAGCACCATCAAGCTACAGTCACCGATTGCTTTCAAAGCTTCCCCACCTGCTCCCTTTCATCTTTAGTTTGCATTTAAAGGACAAGAGCAGTGGGACAAGCGAACACCACCTCTACATCTCTGGGTAACATCAAACATTAGACAACCTTGGTGATATCCAAGGTCTGCAAGCACTGATGTCATGGGAGTTAAAGCATTGCTGAGACAGCTGCCACACAAAACCAATTTGAACTGCAAAGCTACACTGGGCATGTTCATCAGTGATGAGATGAAGTCACCAGCAGCAATCCACCTGGAAGAAGACAGAAGTGGTCTGTCTGCCTGTTTGGCTGCTGCAGGGGAGGTGGTGATCACATACAACGCTGCATGAATTGGCAAAGCAAGATGTGCCATTTCTCTTCCCAATACTGGGACAGGAAGGAAACCTCAGGTGCCACATTCCACATCCATGAACTTGCAGGATCAACAAAACAAAAAACAACTCTCTTTGGTGCAGTGCAGGAAAACAAAGGGACCCCACAAAGGATAAAGATCACTCTCAAACCTCTGGTTTGGCTGATGTTACTGAGCCTATGTGGGAAGTGAAAGATGGAGCAGCAGCTCTCAGGATTGAATATACTTACACTAGGCTTTGCATTGTAGATGTAGCATGCAGTGCATCTCTGGTGGTGTCCAGTGGTCAGTTCATGCCACTGCTCATTCACATCTAACCTCAGCTAGGGCTAAGCAGGGCCCACGCTCCAACACAGTTTGCAGTGAAAGCAAGTCACAGGACAGGAATGATGCGAGTTTGCCTCATTTGCACAACTCTGGCAGCTGGACAACTCTCCACATAAGCAGGAGGCCAATGTACCTCATGCTTCAGTGCCACTTTACAACTCACCAAAAGCTGCTTGTCCTGATCCAAATTCATTGGTGAATCAGTGTTGCAAACACATCACATATTACAGTTTGTTAGCTTTCAGTAATGTGTATTTACACACACACAATCTCTTTTGCTTTCAGATCACTGTATTCATCTTAGCTGGAAGAAGGGGTAGTGTCATAACTATAGCTGGCCTGGGGCTATATAAGGGCAAGAAAACATTCCTTCTATTACACGTTACCATTTTCCTTTTATACCCTCCTTCTTGAGGACTTCAACAGGAATAATGGCACTCTTTTCCCTCCCAGATTTAAACCCCCCCTTACAAACATCCAACACAGATTGTTTCACACGTGCCAGCTTCCCTTTTCCCTCAAAGCATGCAATTGAGTTATACAATGGAGTTGAATTCTGATCACCTCAACCAGTATTCAGCTGCAAGTTCACTGCTTATTTCTTATCCAGCCAAGGGACTGCGTCCCCAAAGGCACCTATTTTGTAGGTTTAACAGGAAGGTACTAACTCTCCCTACTAAAACCTTGGAAAAAGGAAAAAAAGCACAAGGGAAGTACAATTACATTCTCTCCGTTGCTAGAAGTATAGTTCATTATGGGAATCCAACAATTACACACTTTGGAAGTTAGTTTTCAGTTACTGCTACTGAGATTTAACAAAGACACACTCAAATTAACCTATCCCTCAAACAAGTGCCAGGACAGCCTGCAAAACACTTGTACTGCCTGGTCTGCAGCCACGGCTCTTCTCTCCCTTCCAGCCAGGCAGGTCCCAGGCTCCATGCTCCTTCACTGCTTACTACTTACATCAGTGACTGGTGTTCTGCTTCAAAACAACAGAACCAGTCGCCAGCTTGGTGCAAAGAGCTTCCTTCAAAGCTGGGACCATCCATTACAAATGATTTGTCCAGTCTGACACTGGAAAGACAGCACTGCCTGTGGATACAAAGAGACAAAGCCTTGGGTGAGATGGTTTAGTGTGAGAGGTCCCTGCCCATGGCAGGGGGGTTGGAACTGGATGATCTTAAGGTCCTTTCCAACCCTAACTATTCTATGATTCTATGACATGAGGGAAGCACAGTCAAACTACCATACAAAAGTTCTCAGGGGTGGTACAGACAAGGAAACAAAGCACCACCCTTGCCAAATCAGAGTAACCTCCCCTAAGGGCCTGTGGTCGATATGGAGATCATTATTTTAAATGATTAGGACAGACCAAGACACCAGAATAATGGAGTACAGAGGAAAGGGAGGAGAGGGAAGAAACAGCACAGAGCAGTGTATGAGGCTCCCGCCAGCTGATTCCTGTGGTAAGTTCCCAATTATCTGGAAACACCTCATCACATACCTTCCTCCCAGAACATGCTGTGCTTTCTGCCATGTGCTGTTCTATGAGCTGTCCTTGGATGTCACACTTACCATTGTGATATTACTTCTGGGGACACTGGACATCCCAATGAGAAAGGGCAGTGTCACTGTACCATAAGCTTTGGCTAAGTAAAAGAACAACCCATTTGTACAGATATTTTCTGATGGAAAGGGTCTCTTGAGATTTATTTTGAACTATAAAAGCCTAACAAACAGTGTTATCTCATTAGACATGCATACAGACAAGTTCCTGAGGCAGTCTAACAGCTGAGAAAGTAAGAAATGAATGGTAGGGTTAAATTCCTCTGCAGCTCCCAATAGGCACCAGAAGTTTTCTTATATCCTCCCTGTGGGGAGCAAGAAGATACTGTCACCAGTGAAAAGCCTTAAGATTTCTAACTGTAACAAAACAGAGGATCCAGTTCATGTGGAAGTCTGACCTTTTAACTCATGCTGGCTCTTCAAGACTGGGTGACTACAGTCCAGTAACTCTACTTCTTGTTACTAAACTGTTAATTTTCTTTTACATCAGGCTAAACAGTGTCAGCAATAACTACAAAATGCTTTAACAGAATGGGAAGAATAAGATATCTCAGTATTTGGGGTATGTAATGGGAAGCATTTTATTATGGTTTTGAGTCCCCCTCCATAAGGAGGACCCAAATCAAATGATTTACTGATCATTGCAGTAAATCACAGTAAGAAACATAAGCATCCAACATGGTTTTGAAACTGTTGTGGCTACACCCCTGTAATCCCAGCCTACGAAGAACAGAACTTCTTAGTTCACAGACAGGGTTGGGGCTGTCAAAAGCTGCTCTGACCAGTCATGTGGGTTTCCAGTCCTTGCTCAGAAGGCATTAAATCAGAGCAACAAGGGCTTCAAGTGTAAACCACAGATGCCCTCTAGACAAGGTGTTCCCTCCAGGTCAGGACCAGAAGGACACAGGATCTAGAGATCAGCTAAGTACTGAATGAGATGATACAAAGAGCTAGGGATGAAAAAGAAGTTGTCCAAAGCAGCCATATGACAATATCCAAAGTCTTCCAATAATTCCATCTCCTGGAATCCTGCTGGGTTTTCCACATCTGCTTCTACAGCAGAAAGAGGAGTCAGCTTCAGGAAGCTGACGAGGCTGGAGAAAACATGGAGAGGAGTTATTTAAGAAGCAGTTTATTTGTAAGCAAGTGTTTTTCTTAGTCCACCTGCACGCCCTCAGGAAGTTCTACCACGACAGGAGCGCAGTCATCAGGCTCTGCCTCAAAGTCCCACTTAAATTTCTTCGTTAGGTGAGCCTTGAATTTTTCGGCCTTTTTCCTTAGGGTTCCATCAACAGCAGCGCTGCACGTGCAGGAAAAGAACACCTAAAAGAGAAGAGGTCATTAAGAACTCAGCCACGGCACAAGCTGGGCATCTCTTTCCTACAAAGACATCATCAAGAAGATGCATCAGCAGAAGGTTTAGGTTAGGCCACTGGTAAGAGATCTCCCACCCTGGGAACCACTCCAGCTTCAGGGCTGCCTAAAAGCCCACACTTCTCTCATCTCAGAGCTAAGACAGACATCCTGCCTTCATTCCACTGAGTCAGCATTAGGAATAGTTGCATTAAGGCAATAACTTTCTTTGATGCAGGGCTATATTGTAATTAAATATGTACTAAGGAATTATTAAATATGCTTAAGTGTGTTCAAAGAAAAATTCTGAGCAGGAAAACAAAAAGGAAAAAGGAGGACTATCAGTTTTCATGGGAGCTGGCTGGGAAAAGTCCAGTTATACCCTCACAGCCACTTCCTTGTGCACAAGGCACTGAAATCTGGACTGACCTCTAAACGTGGCTCCTCTCCATCATCCAAACACATACAAATCTATGAACTTTTCAAAGTCACAGCTTCTGTGAGCACTCTGAGAGTTAAAGCACCTGTGTATGTTTAAACTGGGTATTTAGCCTCAGAGCCTGTCTCTCACCAGCCTGCCCTGCTCCTCTTCTGAGCCAGAATTCATTTCCATAGGAAGAAACTTGTATTTCAAAGCCAAAAAAAACCCATTGCACAATGGAAGTGAAGGGAAAACCCTCTGGGGAAAAAGGAGGCTCTTACTTGGGAGAGACCTACTGACAGCTGAATAAAACACTGATAAGAGCAGCAAAGTTCGTTGCTTTGTTTATGATCATTTGCCTTTTCCTTGTTCATTCTACCATGAAACTGCCTCTTTTTAACAGAGCTGTGTTACACTGCAAGGCTGTTATTACAAAATCTAACTAAAATATTATACTTCCCACTTCTCCTCCATAACTGCAATTAGTTATTATTAAATATAGTTATATTATTAAATTAGTTATTTCTTTTTTTCCCCCCTTTGAACACTGTTAGGGCTGCATACTCAGTGGAGCTTACACTGTACTCTTTTTACCTTGGATCAAACTCCAAAAATAAAGTTGCTGTGTTCAAAGCTGAGCAAAAGCTAACACAGATGAACTCTCCACGCACTAAGGCTAACAGACTTCTTAAATCCTATCAATGCCCTAAGCTCAATAAGGTTTCACTGCAACTTGTCTGCATACTAAGCAGACCATCCAAGCTGACCCGACGTCAGCATCATCAGTCTTTTACAGCAAAGTTTTGCTTTTTGTGTTAAAGAATGAATGGCATTTGAGAAAAAACAAACGGGCACTATTTGCAAGAAAAAAGACACAGTCCCCAGTCTCTGCTGTGGCCATCTTCATTAGCTGTTCCTCTCATTGCCTTATTTTGCTGGCTTCTTCGCATGCAGACTAACTCAATTTTATACTGCATTAGCCTCTTCTAAGCACAGCTTGAGCAGATCAGACTCTAAGATGACAAGTAAATGGCATCTCTTTGGAAATAACATAAGGAAAACGTAAAAGCAAACATGTGTGTGCTTAGATAGGCTCATTAGCTCCCACGCAGCTCAACAGTAGTTTAATTGCTTTTACAGCTTCTTCGATGCCCTCTCCTCCCACTGCCATCTTTCAAGAGGCAGCAACAAACATACCTGTAAGGTGCTGGTTAAAAAGTTGTCATGGGAGACAATGTCCACAAAAAAATCCGCTGGGATTTCATTAAGCTGGTGATACAGCACAGAAATCAGATTGATGTAAAGGTCTTGATACTTCCTTATGGCATCTTCAGATCGGCACAGGATGTTTAAGAGTCTTTTCCAGTGCTCAAATGCATCATATACGTTTCCAATCAAGAAGCAGATGAAAGCAAACTGCAACTCAGCTGTGCATATTCAGCAAAGGAAAACAAAATACACATTAGAGTGAAAACATACCCAGGGTACATGTCCTCTCAAAAACACTGTAAATGATAGCATAAATCCTAGGTTTGCTTTTCACACGTGTATTCTGCCCTTCCAGATTCTGCTAATAGCAATCAATGCTCCAAACAGAGATTACTCCCTAACTCTCTGCTCCTCAGCTGGAGGAAAAGCAAAGCATAATTGGGCACATCCACCTGTAATTGTAATTATCACCTTCAGAGACTGACTTTACAGGCAGAATAAACAGCAAACTAAGGACTGTCATCTGTGCTCTCAAAACAACACCCATATAGGAAGTCAGGCATTGCTGTTGCTCTGCAAGCACTGAGTCTGCCTGTACCCAGGTTTCCAGAGCCTCACAGGAGTGAAAATGCTACTGCCCTAGATAAGAAGGGTTGTGGGAACACTGGGGGAGGTGAGTTAACATTAACAGATGTTTTCCCTTACTAAGAGCCAGGGTTCTACTCGCTGGATACCTTAGCATCAGCTATTTTGCCAGACTGATGGCATCACCATTTCCTAAGGTAATTCATCCTTTGCATAGCCTAAAGTTGTCTTTGATAATTTTGATAAAGAATAAATTGTATAACATTAATATAGAAAAACTGGAGAAAGGAAAAACCAAAGTGTTATTGCAAACCTCAGCAGAACCAATGCTGCAGCTTGGCCGTGGTCCCAAGCCCTCCCTCCATCCTGCCATGAAACAAATCCCCCCTCCAGGCCCTGCAGAGATTTGATACTTATGCATATCACGTTGACAAAAAAGCCTGGCAAGTAATGGGGACCCTGCAACCGGGAGCTGCAGCCCCCGCTGGGGATGTCCCCCTGCTGCAGGGCTGGCAAAGCCCTGACGCTGCCACAGAGAGTCGCCAGCAGCACAGAGCAGAGCTGCCACCGCTCCAGCCAGGCAGGGACTGGGCACTGCTGGGAGGCAGGTACCACCCGGCAGCATCCCAAAATGAGAACAAGGGTCTGAAAACGGTGACTTTCAGCCCCATTCAGTGCTCCCAGTCCTCAAGAGGTTCACTAAACTGGTGCCAGGCAACAGGCCCCCTGTGCATAAGATGTGGTTGCTGCTTTTGACTTAATCTGCGACAATCTGGGCTCACAGAGTGCCCAGAAACAAGAGAGGCAGCTCTGGACACCGAGCACTAGCCCTCACCAGCACCAGGATAACGGGAACCAGCCCTAAAGCTGCTGAAAACTCCACAAACTGCAATTCAGAGACCTCAGGACACCAGGGCACGGGGCCCACAGCACAGGAGCAGGTTTCACCTGGGGCCCTGGTTTTACAGAGAAATAACCTTAGTCTCTCCAAGCACGGGAGCAGTAATCGTGCAAAGGGCGGCACTCACCGAGCAGATCCCGAGGCTGGCTGGCGTACCGCTGGCTGATCACCTTCTCCAGCGCGTAGCTGAGGTCCATGCTGTGCCTGGTGATCTCCTCCGGCGTAGCACCATCGGGGTACATCTGCTTCGGCAGCTCCGTGAATCTGATCTCGGTACCGGCTCTCGGCTTCATCTGGGGCAGCCGCGCCAAGCCCTCCGCGTAGCTCCGGCACTCGGCATCGACGGGCGGCAGGCGCTGCTCGGCCCGGTCCCTCGAGAGCCTCCCGGCCGCGACCGGCAGCACCTCGGAGAAGGCGCAGATCTGCCCGCTCTCCGGCTGCAGCTTCTTCACCGCCGCCTCGCTGATGAAGCTGGTGAGGGAGACCCACTTCTTGAGGGTCTCGTAGGGGTACGGCCCGAGGAACGGGTCCAGCTCCCGCAGGTTCTCCCTGAAGGCCGCGGCCTCCTCCGTGCCCGCCGGCGCCAGCTCCACGGCCTCGCTGCTGGCGTCCCAGCGGAGCACCCGCAGGTCCCGGCGCTGCAGGCTCAGGAAGAAGCCGGTGCGAGGCCCCGTCTCCCGGCCGCCCGCCCGCCCCGCGCTGCAGTGCAGGAAGTGGACGCCCGGCGGGATCATCTTGACGCCGCGGAACTTGGGGCCCACGGTCCAGGTGCTGTAGTCGATGCCGAACTCGGTGCCCTCGGGCACACCCAGCATTACCACTGCGGCGCCCTCCAAGAAGAGCTGCCGGGCTAGGTCGGGCTCCAGCCGCGGGCCCGCCATGGCCCACACAGGGGAGGCCGATACCGGTACAACCAGTACCTTCAGCCCGCTACCGCCGAGCCCCGCCGGTCCTCCTTAAAAAGCGCCCGGACGGCACAGCCGTTCCGGGTGCGGCGGTTCCGGGTACATTCGTTCCGGCCCGCCCCAGCACCCGCAGCGGGCGCCCTTGCCCTTCGCTGCCCCCCCAAAGCCGACAGCTAACTGAGCCCCTCCATGGCTGCCGGCTGCTCCACTGTGAGCCAGCGACCCCCGTGGGTGGGCAGAAGGACAAAGGTCCTGCCATGGACAGACGCCATCCCAGCATCACGTCCTCCCTCCCAGGATGACAGAACCACGCAGAGCAAAGTCCATCATTTCCATGTGGAGAGACCGTGATTGCACTTCCCCTTTCTCCATCCTCTTGGTAGGAAAGAGCGCACTGAGGCCCCAAGCTGATTTAGCATCAAACACATTTATTTCACTTTTATTGAATACAAGAACAGTGAGCACACACGCATACACCACCAAGCACTGAAAAGGAATATGACCAAAGGGGGGAGAGGGAGAACAAGGGCAAAGGAGAGTTAGTGAAGGAACAACAGAGCGTTGCGGTTGGTTGGTAAGGTGCTTCTCAAATAAAAATAAATATTATTACTGTTAACTGTCATTGTTACTCATGCAATCGCAGGCCAGGTTTGGAATGAGTCTGTGGGATCAGGTAAAAACAGGCACTCGTGTCTCCCACCCCTTTCAACAGAAAGGTCCTGGGAAGAAAGCAAGCAGTGATCAGCTATCTGGAACAGAGCAAGGGCACGGGCAGGCTGGGGGAGCGGAGCCCACGGTGGTGCTGAGCAGCAGGAACCCCACACCTCGCCCACTGAACAAGCTGGGAGCTTTTTCCTATCCTTTTTCCCCGTGTTTTTCTCTACAGTTTCTAAACACCGTCACCCACTGAACACACTGCGGAAGCCAGGGACTGCATCTGCTCACTCCAAACTAACTCACTTCAGTCCAAGCGCACATCAAGTCTAACTCTGTAAGGCCAATCATTCGAACAGGAACCTTCAGTTTTACAGCTACACGATGTCAAAAGCAAGTATCTAGCTTCACATCAGCCTCTGCTTGGGTCCTAAAGGTGCCCAAGCCAGGTGGGCTCCTCAGAGCTTGGAACATGCAGTGTGCTGAACACCAGCACTGTTGCACAGACCCCAAGTCCTCCACATCCCCCCTCCTCTCTCCAGAAGTGCCACTGCTGATTACAACTGGTTTGGGGGTATTGGGGAAAGAGAAAAGCAGCCTCTTCACAACTGCTTTCACTCTTTTGGTTGAGGGTCTGGTCTCTTAACTAAAGGCGCTTGGATGGAAGCAGAGGAGACCCTCACAACCTGGCAGCACTGGCACCAGCCAGCAGCTCTGTTCTCTTCCCCAGCAGCCTGTGCTCATGCCTTTCACGCCTGCAGGAGAAACCTGCCAGAAGAACAGACTTCCCAGGGATGTGGTGAACAGCGGCTGCCAGGGAGCAGGCTCTCTCCTAGGACAGCAGAGGCAGTGAGCAGGGGCTGCCCACATCCTTGCGGCGCAGGCTCTCCTGCTCTCTGGCATCCTCCGAGCCACTGCAGGACCTGGCAAAACGCTCCTGTTTCTGGGCACAGTCTGTGTGAGGGGTGGGAGACTAAAGGCAAAATGGTGCAGAGTCATGGGCCCTTCTGTTTCAGCAGGAGCTAGAGATGATTCCAAGAAGGAAACCCGTTTATTTCCTTTACTTTCTCATTTTGGTTCCAAGTCTACCCTAACTGCCTGGTTCACAGTGTACAAGGCCCTGGGCTTGGCCCATGATCCTCTTCCAAAGGCAGCCATAGAGGAAGCATGCGGCCAAGGGCCGAAGCTGGGATGAGTTGGGGGAAGGCATCTCCACTGACATCTCCTCCATACACACCTTCTTACACAGAGAGCTGGGGCTCTCCTGTCCAGTCTGGGATGCTGGGGACACTCTGAGGGGATGGAGACAGCTCAGTCTTTCCACTGCCCATCCCTAGGCAGGTCCGGGAAGGACTGCCACCAGCCTGCCACCACTGTCACCAGCCACCGTGCCTCAGGCAGCCCTTGCCGTCACACCCTGGGTAGCAGGGGAGGCAAAGCAGAACCAACCCCTCTGCCTTCAACCCTACTACAAAGCTCAAGTAACTTCATTACTGGGATCCAGAAACAAAGCAAAACCACCCCAACCAGCGGCACGGCTCAATGGGCTGGAGGCGAGTGATGAACACAGTCCTGCGGCTGCCACCTTACTCTCAGCTGATTCCCATAGCTCTGGGTGAGGGCCAGGGAGATGAATGCCTACAGCTGCTGGAGCCACAGCCTCAACCTCCTTCCCTGCCCATCCAAGTCACCACTGAGCCTCCACATCCAACCACCACACACTGCAGATCAGCCAGCGGGACATCTCCCATCTCTCTTCCCTTCCTCCCTGAATCCAGCAGCGGCTGAAACCTTCCCCATTCTCTTCTTGCAGGACTGGGAGTCCCACGGGTGATCCAAGAGTCTCAAAATACACCAACCATGGTCCATCAACGAGTTAATAATTTAAAAATGTCATCATATTTACCAGCACTGTTGAATTATTTCAGTATTGTTCCCTCCCTCCCCCCTCGTTATATATAATAATATACATAACTTAAATGCACATCCATATGAAACCCCTACAGCCTGCTTCTTTATAAATGAGAAACCATATACATATCATTTGTTTTGTTTGAAATGAAACCCCTTCTTAAATACCTTCAGAGAACAAGAGGTTGGACAAGTGCACAGAGGAGAAGATAAGGAAGGGAAGGGGAAGAGTTAACAGAACCCCAAAGGATGCAAAAGAACCAGCATGGAAAGAGAAGGGCAAAACGACACTTGTGAATCAGAAAATAACTCTAAGGTAATAAATTCAATGTTTTTCTCTCTTCTTTCCAGAGGTGGGGAATGGTTTTGCTTCTGCTTGTGGTTTTGTTATTTTATTTCAAGTTTGCTTATTTCTTGCTTTGTTGCAAAGCAGTTTTCCTTTCCATTCAGTGTGCAACAAATGAACTCATGATTGTGTATCCTTTAATGTAACATGCAAGATGGTGGCTTATTGTTAACAATATTCTTGTTATTACTATGATTTAATTTCTTTTTTTTTTTAAATCTTATTTTATCACCAATCCAGTAAATTCTTCAATTTATCTGCAGAGGGTTGGCTTTGTTTGTTGGTGGTGCTGTTTGCTATTATTTCCAGCATATAGCAGCAGTGCAAGGATGCATTTTGTTTCCTGGTTTTATATATATATATATGTATGTATGTATATATATATATATAATATATTTGCTATTCCTTTGTTAAAAATGTTTGTCTCTCGCCATGAACATTGCAGCCAGGATGTCTACGTCTTGCTGACAAATCCAGCATGAAGGCTCCTTCTCCGCTGTTCTCCCGGTTTGAACACAGGTGCTGACTTCCATGAACATGTTGGTCAAGATTCCTGTACAAGGCAGATGGAAATGACCACTCACGGGGTGCTCATTTCTGCAGCTATAAAAGGGCTCCTCTTTGTATGAGGACACTGGAGAGAGGATATTTGCAAACACTTGGGGCCACGCTTTGCATTTCATTACCAGGAGCTCTGTAAATTGGGAGGAACACTTAATTCACTGGGCTGGTGTTGGTGTAGATGTTGGTGTGTTGGAGATAAAGGTGAGCCACTGCTCCCTTACTTTAAGCCATTCAGTTAAAATTGGGCATCTCCCTGAGTGATGCAGAAGTGTCTGGGCTTGCTTGTAGTATGGGTTAGGAGGTAAGATTAGGCAGATGCAAGAGCCTCTTCTGACCTTCCAGGCTGCAATGGAGCTGGTCACTTTTCCAAGCTTAAAAGCTGCCAATCAATATCCTCAGATGATAAAGAAACACAAACCCACAATTCCAAAGAGGCCTCTCAAAATGCACCTGCAGCCTCGCTGCTGACAGAGCAGTGAAGCTTCCTTCAGAAGCTTCCCATCTCTCCACCATGCTCCTCTGCTCCCCAGCTGCTCCGACACTGCTGGGTTGTGCCACCACCAAAGAGCTGATGGAGGAGGAACAGGGTCAGAGAAGGGGCTTAGGAGTGGGCAGGACTCCTCAAGCTTTGCCCTGGGGAAAAACATCTGGGGCTGTGATTGCTCTGGGGAGGTGCAAACCTTGTGTGCTGCTGCCTGTACCTGTGTGTGTATAAACAGACAGCCTGGGGATTCAAATGGGACTGAGGAAACCTTCCTTTTTGCAGACACTGGTCGGATCCTTTGGACTGGCTTTTCAAGAACCTGTAGGCAAGTTTCTCAGCCCATGCACAAAACTGGTATGACCTCTTTCCCTCCCTGCCCCAGGGGGACAAACAGCTCCCTTCTTCATTCCATGCAAATGACTGTGGTCCCAGTGCTGAGCATGTAAGCGAAGTGATATGTACAGAATTGCTTTTTGTGGCATGGCACCAGCTTTCTAACCACAACCAAGTGATCATGCCCAGAGCCACTGCCACACTGGAACCGCTGGCTGAGAGCTGCCACCCTTAGAGCCCAGGAGCAGCAACCTCTGCCAGCCCCTGCAGAGGCATCTGCCCAGTTACATCCACCCTGTACAGCAGATCTAAGTCAGACCTGGTAACTTGTCCACCTACCTGAGGTTTCTTGTCCCGTTCCTCTGGAGAAGGTTCTGTTTCTCTGTATACCACAGCTTTGGTTACCAGCATGTCAGGATGCTGTAGTTTTGCCTCTTTGATTGCTAAAGCCAGTGCCTAGAAACCAGAAGGATGAAATCATTCATCATCCCTTCCCTGAACTCTGGTCCACTGCTCTCATCCAGGCAGCAGAGAGAAAGCAGCTGGAGCAGAATGGGATTCCAGGAGGACACTGATGCAGAGGTTCAAAGCTGAACCCATTGTAGCCTGACAGAAGAGGCCAGAGTCCACCAGGAAAATACCCCTGTGGCCCTAGGGATGTGTGTTGATCTCTGTTATTTTATCATGAAAGTTTGCCACTTTCTGTTCCTCTATCATGGAGCAGATGCAGAATACCATCACTTGGAGTGAGTCTACCTGGAGTGAGACTGCTGGAAAGAGAGGAAGGACCTGGGTCACTTGGGAGTATTTCAGCAAAGAAAGAGCAACTGGAAATGTGTTTTAAGGAAATATAAAGATCATCACTGGGCTTTGTGCTGGCACTTTAACTGCTGCTTCCCCCATGGGGACCTGCACTGCCAAACAGCTGGGAGGTTTGGGGCCTCGGGGGTCAGTTTGGGGAGAGAAGGAGTAAACGGGTACAAGGAAGAACCAGAAACATGTGGTGCTGCAGCTGGGGGCAGCCAGAGCCTGTCCAAGCCAGGGTGTCCTGCTCCTACCTGGTCCTGGTCCACGTCTTCATCTCCTGTGATAATGATGCGCTTCTCTATTCGGGTCTCAGAAAACCCTCCTTTCACAGTCTGCACAAGAAGAAGGAAAGTACTCACCCACAGCTGTCCCCACAGAGCTCCTGCTTTCATTCATGTGCAGTTCATTGAGGAATGAAATGGCCATGGGTGAGGTCCTCTGATGTAGCCACATCTCCTTCCTTTCCTACCATACTGCCCCTTGCCTGCACCACTTCATCTCTAATAAACCCAATAAACCCCACACTAACACAGCTCCCATAGCTGACACAAGGTGAGATACTCCAGCATTGGTGCTGTGGATTTCTTGGGCCAGGGGGACCTGGGATCTGTCTCTAGGCACATCTGGAAACATCCACCCCAGTTGCACGGGCAGGGACCAGCTCACACACTGCTGCAGCCAACTCCCTGCCCTCCCAGTCTACCAGCAGGTAGGGGTGGGCACAGCCTGTGTTCGCAGGGTGATGAACACCCAATACATGGGTGTCCTTGCCTGCAGTCCCACATCCTCATGCCTGGCTGGGGTATGGGGCACTCAGAGCAGGTATTGGGGTGCTGTGCTGGCTCACCATCCCTCATGGGACAGCATATCCTTTTCCAGCTTGTAAGGAGAGGGGTGTTTTCTGCTGTACCAACCACTATAAATCCCCCCACCCTCAAATCCCAGTGACTTGCCTCAGCCCCTTGGAGCTGCTCTTACCTTGGTAACGTGGGTAGTGGTGGAAGTCGAGAGGGTTTCCGCAGTGGCACTGAATATGCTGGTGAGCACGTCCTTCCCAGCAGAGCCGCTGGTGATCTGCAGGACAGAGAGCAGCAGCATCAGTGGGGCTGCCATGGGGGAGGCCCCAGTGCTCGCTCCCAAAGAGCTGCAACCTTCCTAATGGGATGCAACTACTGAGCTGAGCACAGGAGGAAATAGAGTGGTAAGGGAAAAAACCACTGCACTCTGCTTCCAAACAGACCTGGGTTTGGGGGGATGAGGGAGAGGTTCCTGCAGCTACCCCAAGCCCAGAGCTGCAGGAAAGGGCTTCTGCAGCAGGGAGATGATTTCATGGCTGAGTTTTGCTCTTCCCCATCCATCCTTGGGGCTGCCTTAATTGCAAAGCTCCAAGGCTACCTTTAGCTTTGTCCTCTGGGTATGTTCTCCCTGCACAAGCCTGGGGCATTTAGCAGGGCTTGATGCCATCAAAATGAGGCAATACAGTAGGAAAACTCATCCCACTATAGACTTCTTCAGGGACTGGGCTGTTTGTTAGAAATCCTCCTCCTGGAGATGCTCAAGGTGTGTCTCTAGCACAGGAGAATGGCCACGGGCAGCGAGGCCCCTCCATCTTGCACCCCAACCTTCTGAGCATCATTTTCCTCTTCCCAGTAACAACACAGGGTGCCAGTGCCAGGAACATAGGAGGGGGCCCTGTGGGACCAACCACAGCCCCATAGGGCTGCTTCCCTCCCTCCCACCCCACAGGCCTGGCTGGTGGTGCCATGTCCCCCCTCACCGGTGAGAGGGAGCGAAGGTCTGTCATAGGAACGGCCCCTTTCCCAGCCTTGGTGCTGTGGTCCTGAAAGAAGAGCAGATGGGCACATTGGCTGAGATGCACCATGGGGCAAACACAGCAGATCACATCCCCAGTGGGGCAGGGTCCCTCCCAGCACAACTGGTCCCAGTTGCCCTCACTGGAGCAGAGGGACTGCAGGGTCCCCCCCAGGTATCAAGGGGCCAGCCCCACTTACTGCCTCTGCGGTGCCAGTGGCTGTGGTGTCCCTGCTGCCTGGGGTGCCTCCTTCCACCTGCAGAGGAAACCGGGTGAGCCTGGAGGTGCCAAGGACAGGGTGACACAGGGACACCGTGGCTGTCCTTGCTGCCAGAGGGATGTGGGGCCACAGACATGTGTGGTGCAGCATGCATGGTGGCTGTCACCCTCTGGAGATGTCCCCATGTGCCAGTGCTGCCTGGCAGCATGGCAGATGGGACCAGGGATACACATAGAATCTCCCTGGGGGGGCTTTGATTTGATGTTTTGGGGAACTAGATGATCTTGATGTCCTTTCCAACCCTCACCATTCTATGATTCCAGCAAGACAGGGGTGAATGGAGGCCCCCAACTGCCCCATTCAGCCCCTGCCCTCCCAGTGCTGCTGCCTGAGGCTTGGCAGAGCCATTGAGAGCAGGGATACAGGAGAACGCAGCCACATCACCTGGGCTGCATCTGTGGTGCCAACCTGGTGGGGAGCAGAGCCGTCTGCTTCAGGCTTCTTCATGCCCAGCCCCTGGCCGACGGTCACAGCATCAGTTTTCAGGGCTGATGACTGCAGAAGAAACAAAACAAGTCAGGCACTGGGGCACGATGCCAACAGCCCTGAGCACTCCTTGTGCCCCGTGTGAGCAGAGCATCCCTGCTCCACTCCTCTAAGTGCCACACATGTATGATGTCCTACGAGCACCACACCGAGCCCTACCCGGGCAAAGAGCAGACAGCCCTGGGCAGACACCAAACACAGTGCCCTGTGTGACTGATGTAGCCCAAATCACACCTGATGCTCTGTCCCTGGGGTTTTCAGGGATGTTTTGGATAGACACCATGGGGTAGGTCGAACTGGTCTTCAAAAGGTGGGCGAGACCCACCAAATCCATTTCACTCGTGCCCCGCAGCAGGTTATGCTCTGGACCAGGTCCTAGCTGCTACTGGGGTGTCAGAGCCTTAGGGGAACGCAGACATGTTTCCAGCACTACAGGAAGCTGGAGCTGCCAAGGGCTCCTGTGCAGGGAATGCTCAGCGTTCCCGAACCAGCAGCTTTCCCTGCCTGGTGCCAGCCATGGGGCACCATGGAGCTGATCACCCACACCTATGCACCCACTGGGACCCTGCAGCCCATGATGTCAGATGCTCCGCACAATCGTTTCCAGGCTGGGTCTAATTCAAACTCCCTCTAATCCTGCAGCTTCTTCCTGGCTCCAGGTCTGGACTCCCCCTGGCAGCTCCATGCAGCTTTCAGGACTCACCTGCCAAGGCTGGAGCACTGCCCTGGCAAGGACAGGTTTTCAATGCGATGCTGTCCTCTCCCTGAGGCGCACACGCATGCTGCATGCATCTGAGCCCTCTCACAGTCACTCCTGGCATTGGAGCCACCCTCCAGGAGCTTTGGAGCAGCTCCCACAAGCTACTCCATAAATCTCCCGCAGCCAAGGCACGACCAGGGGGGTTAGCTGGCAGCACATTGCTCTTTACTACACGAACTGGTCACTAACTTCATGCAAAACACAAGGACAGAGCCGTTGGTTAGTGATACGTGCCCATCCCAGGTGCTGACATGCTGTAGTGGTGTGAGGGATGGGGTAGGCAGCCAAACACAGGGGATTAGGAGACAATGATGACTTCTCCTGCTTAGCAGATGCACAAAACACACAACAGAACCATGCAACACGGATGAAGGCGTGCACCAGTGGAAAACAGGAACCTGGGCATGTCTGAAAGCTAGCATGCTCTTCCAAACCAGCATGGAGTGCATGCCAGTGAGGCAATACCAGGCACGAGGACAAGGAACATGGAGGCATGATGGCACTGAGCCAGTCTTGGTGGAATGGCATCCCTGTGTACCTCTAGCTGGGAGGCATCTGGCCTGGGCTGGGAGACCTTCTCCCCGCCTTTGACATCCTCTTCCAGTCCTGGAACTACTTTGTCAATGTCCCGGAAGGAAACCAGGCCTTCATCTTCCGTTTCACTCTTGTCCTTGTCCAGCTCGGGCAGGCTCCGGGAGATGTCCTCAAAGGCTGTGCCGTGGAAGTCACCGATCACTGTGAAGTCCACCTCTGCTTCCAGGCTGGAGGTTGAACTGACCGTGATGCTGGAGCACTTGCGCTCGATGGCCAAGTGGTTGTCCTTCAGGAAGACCGAGTCCTTCTCCTGGTCCTGCTCCTCATCGCCGGTGTCGCTCTCGGGAGCCCTGTGCCGCGGTGGCTTAGCTCTGTCCTCTGTGCCCTCCCTCAAGCCTGCTCTCTGAATGAGACACAATGGTGGAGACAGACGGAGAGAGTGAGCACCGCGCGGCGTGGCAGCGCTGGCAGTGCCGACAGCGAAGAGGGGAGGAGGAGGAGGAGGAGAAAGAAGGCTGCAGCAAACATCACAGAGTAGAGTCAAACACAACTCAAGCATGGAGACGGAAACCTTTCTGACAGCAGCGACGGGGCAGGGGCGGGGTGGGGACGGAAGGGTTATTCAATCTGACTTTGCCAATAGTCATTGGTAATTAATCATCTCAAGAAAGGGTCAGTCACACAGAAAAGCTTGGCCAGCTTGGAGGCATGTCAGTGCACCCAGTGGAAGCAGGTGTATGCAAAACAACAGGTCTGCTTAAGAGACATTCAGAAACAGCTCAGACGCCAGTGCTATTGTACATCAGTCAGGTTGGGCACTCAGAAACAAAGGGAAAGAAAGAGAGAAGAGTTTGGAAGGAAAGGGCCCCGTCAGCCACGTACGGTGGAGGAGAAGCAAAGGAGTGTGCCAATTCCACTGAGCAGGCGCGCGGACCCATGGAGCATCACCCCAGGGAGAAGGACCAACCCCACCAACACAGCTCCAGAGGCACCACACAGCCGGGGTGAGCCTTAGGGATGACGTGGGTGAGGGTTTGGTCAGTGTAATTGACAGCACGCTTGGAGCCAAGGGATGACCTCTCTCCATCAGCTCTTCTCCAGACATGGACATACCTCTCAACTCCGCCATCAGAGGGTACATCTGCCCTCGCCATGCTTTGCCATGAGAAATCTAGAGCCATTGCTGAGCTTCGCATCTTGCTCTAGGCAGTTCTCCCTTAGGAAGAGCTCTAAGGACACTGATGCCACAGGAAACCCACGGCCTGGACTCTGGGCCAAGTGTTTGCAACCAGAGCCATCCCCCAGTGAGCCAGGCTGTGCTGGCACAACCTTTCCTTGGTACTGCTGGAGGTTGAGAGGTATGAGAAACAGGGTGTCAAACAAAGTCAAGAGGAACACACCTGCATACATGTTTGTGTGTGTGTGTATGTATAAATATATACATAACAGCTCTGCAAAGGGGATTGGAGCTGGAAGCACACAGCCCTCAGCTGGTTAAGGTGAGCTTTCATACTACAGTAAGCAGTTAGTAAAACAGCACTGAGACCTGGGAGACCACTGGAACAGCAGTCTTTAAATTCTCTTCTTTCAGGCTGGGTTTTATTGACGGGTCAGATAAATCCTTTTCTTCCCCGCTTGGTTCCTGAGATTTGCTCTGGATTAGAGAAAAGGGTTAGTTGTAAGGAAACGAACTCCACAGGAGCTGATCTAGCGCTTACAAGAACGAAGAAAGCTATTTCATCATCCAGCCACCAGCTTGCCCAAGACAGGGGAGGGTGGGTGAGGCCGGCGAGCTAAGCAAGAAGGGATATCAAGGTAAGAAATGCGAGGGTGAAGCTGGAAGCATGGGCACGCTGCTGCTGTGTGTGTGTGCGTGTCCGGGACAGTCACAGCTCCTCCAGCCACCCCCAGGCTCCCTTTCTTGCTCCTGGACATGAAGCTTGGGTGCCCACTATTGGGTTTAGTGAGGGGCATTCTCCAGGGAGCCAAGACGTTGGGAGGGGGGTGTCACGGAACACAAGCTGATGAGCCAGCTGGCCAGCGGGTCTGCGCTCAGCAAAGAAGCCTGACCACACACACATACATAGGACAGGGGATGCAAAGCAACTGCTGTCGGTCAATGGATGTGTGGGGAGCCACTGGACATGATCAGAAAGAGCCACACAACATGCGCATGAACTTTCCATCCGGACAGTTCATTGGAAGAGTTACCACGGCTTCCGCCAGTGTGAGTTCACAGCCAGAGTCAGGGGAGGCCAGGTCAGCACTGTTGTCTTCTCCTTTGTGCTCCACGTCAACAGAAGCATCGTCCTTCAGAGACAGAGCCTGGGAGGTGTCTCCTGAACCAGCCCCTTGCCCGAGGGCCGAGGAGCCCACACTGGATGCAGGTCCCACTGGAGCCGCAGGCATCGCCAGACCCACCTTCCCCATTGCTTCTGCTGCTGTCTCAGCTTCAGGCATAGGCTCTGGTTCCTCCTGGGCTGCCCTTCGCTCCGCTTCGCTTTGCTCAAACATCTTAATCTTAGAGGCCACGGAGGTTTTCCTGTAGCAGTCACTGTCCTGACAGCTACCTGAGGCCACATCTCCATGCTCCTGGGACACAGCTCCTGTCCTCCCAGTCATGCACAGCAACGACCCAGACTCTATTGGACGTGTCCCATTGCTCACTTGCAGCTCTTCCCCACCTTCAAAGATCAAGGTGGAGAGCTGGTACGTCTTGCTTCCTTGACACAACCCTGCTACAGGGGCTTTGGAGTGCACGACATCAGCATCTTCTTTGGGAGAGGACTTATCCTGTGTTGGCTGCCCCAGGGTAAGGTCACTGTTCCTGGCAGTTTCTCCTACTGTAGGGCTCCTGCACTGCAGACCTTGTCCTGCATTAAACTCCAAATCACAGGGTGGCTCCTGCTCTTTGGGTTCTGCAGTGTGGAGCAGCCCTTCAGCCCTGGGGCCCTCTGGAGGCAGGTCTCCTGTTATGGTCTGTTGTTCTGGTTCTTCTGCCTTGGCAGGCAGCTCTTCTATGCAAGGGCTTTTGTCATGGGACAATTCTTCCATCCTACAGCCTTCATCTCTGGTCAACTTCCCTGATGAGAGCTCTTTTCTCATGGGCTTCTCCTCCTGGAGTGGCTCTCCTGTAGCAGGGACTTTGCTGTGGGTTGCCCTCGCTGTGACAGGATCAATGTCCTGGGCCACTTCCCCTGTGGCTGGGTCTCTGAGCTGGATGGGCTCTGGGGCAGCATCTGTGTTTTGGGGTAGTCCTCTTGCGACAGGACTTGCATCTTGGCACGGTTTCCATGCAGCGTCTTGGGGTTGTTCTTCAGATAGAGGATTGGTGCCCCAGGGTATTGCCACCTCTGATACAGGGCTCACATCCCTGGGTGCTCCTCTGCCTACCACAGGGCTTGTTTCTTTGCATGCCACCCCTGCTGCAGGGTTCACATCCTTGGCTATGGCCACAGCTCTCACAGGGCTGGTGCCCTGGGACACATCTCTGGCCTCAGTTTCAGTGCCTGGGGCTGGCTCTGCAGGGACAGGGGTGGACTGATGAGAAAAGGACGTAAGGGCAAGAGAGCTGGGTTTGTCCCCCTCTGACCCTGCAGTGGTGTGAGGGTGGCTCTGCTCAGGCACAGCTGATGGAGGCGACTGGGTCTCTATCTCTTCCATCTGAAGAACCACTCCGGCACTCTCTTCCTTGTCACCAACTGTTCCTGAGAGCCCCTCCGCTGCCATGCAGATATCCGGGCTCTGTACTGGGCTCCCTTTGTGCTCCTCAACCCCATGGCCATCCCCTGCCAGGCCACACGGCTTCGAGCCTCCCACTGGACTTCCATCCGTATCCTCTGGTCCCACCTCTTGGGAACTCAGTAGGGCTTCACCTCCCTCGGGTGCTCCGCAGCCTGTCAGCACAGCAGACGCTTCTTCTTGCTGTAAGGGCAGCCCTTCCTCCTGCCCGGTCCCATCCCAGCCTGCCCAGGGCTGCTCCAGGGCTTCGGCAGGTTTTCCAGACACTGCCTTGTGTTGCTGGCTTGCTGAGGACAGGGGTTGGAACCCATCTTCTGCAGACACCATGTGCCCAGATCCCTCCCTGGGGGCATTCACAGCAGCTTCTGCTCTTTCCTCCAAGCCCAGCCATGCTCCAGCCTCCGAGAACAGGTTTTTACTGTCCTTCTCCTCTTCCTCTGGATCTCCCAGGTAGATGATCCTCTGGGTTGTGGAGGTCTCCGAGCTCTCATCATTAGCCTTCACTTTGATTTTAATGAGCTCTGTGGCCGGCGCTCTGGCCTCCTGCTTCCTGCAGGCTGCAGAGGCACGGTCCTTGGAGAACAGCTCGCTTTCCCCTTGCGGAGGTTCTGGCCCCACAGACTTGGTCCTTTGCTTCTCTTCAGGCTGCTGACGTGGCTTGGGCAGACCTGGCTCACCGGGGGTGACTTCCTTGCCCTGCTCTCGGTGCTCCTCGTTGCTGTCCACTGGCCGGCGCTCTGCCTTCAGGCTGGGCTCCCCCCTGCTTTCCTTCTCACAGACCTCATCCTCCCAGACAGACTCAAAATCCTCAGGACTAGCGATCATCTTTGCTCTCATCCGGGTATCCAGGGCTGCATCTGCTGGCTCTTCCTGGCCTGCCACGTCCTTGGCTTTCCCTACTGCCATCTCCACCTTGGATACGCTCGTGCTCATTTTCACCTCTGAGGTACCTGCACGTGCTTCTTTCTTGACTCCCAGAGCTTTCCTTAGAGCTACTGCTTCCACTCTAGGAGTTTCTCTCTCTATAAATACCCAATGCTCCGAGCCCTGCATTGCAATTGGAGCAAGAAGAGTTAGCATCAAACATACTTGACCTAACTGCTGGTGGCTGCTGTCATGAGTAACAGGAAGCTGATCTGCCTTGGACAGGGACGACTAAAGTATTATTGTTCATGCAAGAGTTGAGGCAGGGTCTATACAAAGAGCTTGGCAACTTGTTGATGGAGAGCAGGGACTGAAAATAAAGGGGGTGATGCTGTGATAGGGACTGAGCCCTTCTATTCTCTCCAGGGACCATGTTTTGCTCTGGGTGGTGGCTCACTGACATATCTGCAGCTTTGCTGGAAACACAGGTGTGGGAGCAATGCTCCAGCAGACACATTAACAGTCACCAGGGCACCTCTCAACTGGCACCCCCCATCTGACTCCTGTTTTCAGCTGGATCTGGCAATCTCCATGAGCAAAGAGTGAGATTTCACTGTAAGCAAAGGTCTGTGTTTTGAGTCGCTTCCCTCTCAGCTTCATCCATGTGCCCTAAAACTATTCAAGCTGCCAAAAGCACCAGCAAGAGAAAACACCACGTTTAGGCATCAGAAAGGCCCTTTTCCCTTCCTACCAGATGCTGCAGCTCAGGTTCACCCCAAAGTCCATCCTTCCCTTCCTGCTCTCCAAGGAAGTCTCATCAGAAGCAATTATTTAGCTGAGGTTTTGGGCAATGCTGAAACCAAATGGTTCAGAAAGTGTAACCTGTAAAAGGTTACCTGTGAAATGTAAAAGACGAGCCCAAGCTTGGCAGCTGAGACAGCCACAGACCAAGCAAGGACCAAGCAAAGGTTGTGGAGCATCCAGCAGCAAGGACACAGTGGGTATGTGATATACCACACAGTGCATGTGTGCTGCTCCGCAGGGGAGGAACCTACATCACTGTACACTTTGTACTTCTGCATTTGTCCTGAAGGACAGCTAAAGACATCACAAGGGCAAGAACAAAGCACTGCTAAAATTCAACCCCTTCTGGGGCAGAAGACAGAATATAATCCACAAGAAGGCAGATTCGCATCGATGCAGAAGCCCAGCAGCCTCCCCAACCACCCTACCCTAGGCAGCACACACACAAAGGGCAATGCAGGGACGTGGTTCTGCAGCGTTCACCATGGGGCTGGCTCTGCCCATGACAGAATCATCATTTCTGCAGGCTGTGGCACCAGGATGCTCTTCGGCCCCAGTGAGGGGTGGGGGGCTGGCTGCTTGCTCTAACTGGGATAAGGAATCCATTAAAAAGGGAGTGATGCCCCACGCAGGGGTGCAGGGTGAGTGTTTGGAGCAGTCATGCCCAAACTGGAAACCTAATAACTGAGTAAGGGGAAAGAAGGGGGCAAAGGGAAGCAGAACAAAAGGGAAGGGAAAGGAAGATGAGATTAGAGGAGAGTGAGAAAGGAGGAAAACCAATTACTAATGGAAGGACTCTCACAAGGAAGGGAATCAGAAATAGTCAAAGAATCATAGAATCACAAGCTGGTTTGGACCTTGCTCCCTGCAGCATCACTCACACATGGCTCTCTGATACCCCTTCACCAATCACTGCCTGCTCTCCAGGTCCCTTCCTCCACACCTGCCTCCAATGCAGGTTTTAGTGCTTCCTAATCCATGGAAATGGGAACAGAGGCAGCCAGCAAATGCCAGGAGCACTGGGTTGCACCAAGGTCTTTCACAGATGGGTTTTACCCATGAGAGCAACGTTATCACTAACTTGGCTGCTGTGCTGGGCCTGCTGGGAAGCCCAGGCTGGCCTAGAACCAAGCCTCAAAGACCGGTTTTCTTCTGCTCTTGTCTATCCTGGGAAGCACCCACCATTGCGTGAGATAAACCCTGCCTGCAAGCAGGGCTGAGAGCCCACATTCCTCACCCCTGGGCTCTCGGGTGACACTGAAGGCATCGAAGGCAGCATGACAAGCCCAACGTTTTTGATGCCTTCAGACATCCCCTGCTTCAGGGGGCCTGGGGCAGTGTAACTGAAGCCAACGTGAGAGGAAAGCACAAGGGGTTGCTAAAGGTGGCTTGTGGCTGCCTGCTGACACAGGGAGCAAACTCCCCCCTGTGCCATTGGGTCAGCAGTGCCTCGGCAACCCCAGGTCTCCATCACAGCCCCCTCACCCAGAGCACAGCCAGCCTGGGGGTGGCACCACTGGAAGGTCTCTCCCAGGACCCTGTCTCACAGCCAGGGGAAAGGATGGCTCCTGCCCATTGCTGGAGGGGACCCACCCAGGGAGGGCAGCAAACGGCTCGGGCTCTGCTCAGAGGGCAAGGAGCCACCTCGGCAGGCTGGAGGGCCCCATGGAGGGGTAAAACTGTGAGGGCAGGGCAGGGGGAGAGTGGAAGAGGATGGTGACAACCTCAGGAGAGGAGACAAGGCTTTTCTGCGTGAAAGACTCCATGCTTAGGGAAGCTCCGTGGTCAGATGCAAAATCGTCTAGGGTGTCCTCTTCTATCGTCTGTGCCAGCATGGAAACCCCAGCACCCACAGAGAAAAAAGAGAGAGAAAGAGAGAGACAGAGAGAGACAGAGAGAGAGTATGAGAAGGAATGAAGGAACAAATGGGTAGGTGGGTGGATGGATAAATGGATGGATAGATAGATGGATGAACAGAGGTCACAGCTATACCAGCTCGAGTGCTCCATTTACATCTCTGCCCTTTATATATTTGCTTGTAAAAGAGACATGGGGTGAAGTCCTTCTTCCCAGCTCAGTGCTTTGATGAAGGGCCATGAGCTCACCTCTGCCTGGGTCTCTGGTCAGTGCTGGGGACCAGCAGGTACACATGCACACCATGAATCCCCTGCAGACAGCCCCTACCCAGCCACCCCACACCCTCCTCGCAGCCCAGCCCCACGTCCTCAAGAGCGGTTCCCATGTGTGGATCCCCCCTGCCTGGAGCCATCCCCAGTGGAATGGGCACAGGACTGGTTTCAGAGCCACCCTGGGGGGAAAGAACATCACAGAGTGGAGAGCAAGCAGGGAGAGGGCACCCAGGCTGGCAGTGGGGATGGCCTTGCCACACAGTGCCTGCCCCAAGGCAACCAGGAGCCCAGCACCACAGAGCATCCCTCTGTGCCCCATCCACGCACCCCACAGAACTGGGGGCTCTGTGTGTCCCAGCACCCCCAGTTCCAGCTCTCTTCCTTTCACACTCGTGGTCCCACCACAAAGCCAGCAGGGAGGACGTGTGTGTGCAGGATGTTGGTGTGACACCATCCGCCCCTCCACCATGGGCACCTCTGTGCAGCGCTGGGTCCTGCTCTGCTGAGGACACCACCCAGGCACAGCCCCACGGTAGCCTTGTTGGTAGGAAGGGTGAGGAAAGCCCCATCTCATGGGGTAACAAAGCCACAGCCCAACCCTCAGGTACCCCAAAGCAGGGGAAGGATGAGAAGTTCAACACCAAGAAGTGCCTGGGCACAAGGGGAGATCACTACCAGCAGTGTGAAAACAGTTAAATCCTTACAGAACTTGGAGACAACAGCCTGGACAAAGACCCCCTCCCTCCACCCCATGTCCCCATCATGTAATCTCCACCACCAGCATAGCACAGGAGGCCAACAGCTAAGGAACACCTCCCTGCAAACAGCTTCATCCCCTCCGTGAGAGAAGCAGCGGAACAAACCTCGCTGGCCTTTTCTGGGGTTCCCTTTGGTGTTTCATCCTCGTGCTTGGGTGAGGAAGAGGCTGGTGAGGAAGGCAGCCTCCTGTCCCGGTCCCTGTGAACCAGCTTGCTGTTGGGCTCCTTCAGGGTCCGTTTCAGCTCGTTGATGCTGGCCTGATGCTTCAGCAAAACATCTTCTGGCTTGTCTAAAAACTTGGGGAAGGAGAGAGGAAGATAAGCGATGATTCAAGCACCAGCCAAGGCAAAAGAGGTAAGCAAGGGCACTGGGAGGGTTTGCTTCACATTCGGCTTGAATTTAGCATCTTGAGAGCCAAATGAACAGAGCACCCTGGTCTGCAGCTCTCGCTAAGACCACTGCAGGGAGCAGCAAAGGCAGCACATGGCCGAATGTGCGTGGCAGGCTTCCCTCCATGATGGGCAGCACAGCACGCCCCTTTGGCATCTCCAGCACAGCCTGCTGAGGGCAAGCTAAGCCCCTTGGAGGAAGAGCAAGGGATCGGGCCCTATTGGAAATACCAGCAGCCTCCTCTGCAGCTCTGTTGTGCCAGGCACAAAGGAAGCCAGAGCCTTTGTCCCAACAGGGTAGGAAATGGCATTTCCAATGGAGCTCATTTGAACGGGGTTTCTGCTGAAGGGCAGGAGGTCAGAGATGTCCAGCATGGATCCAAGCCTGGATCGCCATGGACCAGCCTGGGCCCAACAGCAGCCTGAGGTGGGATTGAGCCTGCTGTGGAGAGAGGACAGCTCAGAGCGCTCAAGTGCGAGGTGGGTTTAGGCATCAGAGCATCATTTGGTGACGGTACAGGCACCAGGGTGGCTCCCTTGGTACTGCCGCAGAGGTGGGCAAACCGGCTCAGAGCAAGAACCAGCAAGAGCAAGGACCCTGGCTTCAAACTCAAACCTCTTTTGAGGTTCGAAATGAGTCACCTAAAATACTTCCTCAGTATTTCTCCTCAGCAACAGCCCAGGGACCCCAGAGAGCCCCATGAAAAGCCCTTCCAAATTTCACAGGCCCTGAAGGCTCAGCACAACTCATGGAGAAGACTTGCCCATGGAGCCGCGGAGAAGAGCTTCATGGTTTGCCCACCTCTGGGCTCGGGGTGCACTGGGGGAGCAGCACATGCACATGCAGCAGGAAAGCAATGAGGTGGCCAGGGGAGGGACTGGGACCGGTGCCCATTACCCTGGCAGGGTCTGCCTGTGGTGCCGAGCGGGATGCTGAGGGCTGTGTGGTGCAAACCCCATCACCTGGCTGTGTTTGCCCCTATGGATACCCCCAGGGAAGATCCATGTTCCACTGTGAGTGGAGAGGGAACCCCCCAGGAGCAGCTGTGGATCCTAGGCTGGGATGAAACATTCCTGACAGGGACCCACCGTGGACATGGGAGTTTGTACAGGGGAGGGCCAGCACTCCAGGCAGGCAGCTTCCCTCTGGCATGGGGATGGGTGCTGCTGCTGCACTGAAGGCAGCTCAGAGACAGAATCAACCAGGTTGGAAAGACCTTTAAGTCCAACCATCCCCAGCGCTTCCAAGGCCACCACTAACCCATGGCACTGAGGGCATCACCTACATGGTGTGTGAACACTTGAAGGGACGGTGACTGCAGCCCTGCCCTGGGCAGCCTGTTCCAATGCCTGAGCACCCTCTGGGGCAGGAACTGTTCCTCAGCTCCATCTAAACCTGCCCTGGTGCAGCTTGAGGCCGTTCACTTGCCCCCGGAGGGGTGAGCTGGCAGCCGCAGTGCCGTGAGGAGCTCCAGCCGGCTCCCTGCGGAGCAGAGCCAGGCTGCAGGGGGGGTGACGGCGGTGGTTTGGGTCAGGCAAAAGCAGAGCACGGGTCAGGGTGTCAGTGGGAGCGATGGGACCGGCCTGCACGAGGAGCTAGGGCTGTAGGGCTGGGCGGAGAGGAGACACGAGGCGAGGACATGGCGCAGTCAGGAACAGGAGCAGAAGCCAGGTCTTCCCAACAGGCCAAGGACTCGGCGCCGTTGCACCTTGGGAGGGCTCTTGCTCACACGTACGATCAGGACTACCTTACTTAGTGGGATAGAAGATGCCGTGTGCGCGCTGGGGCAGACCCCCAGCTGTCTGCTCATCGGGCTCCTCTAGCATCCAACCCCCTGCCCCAGTGCATCTTGTATTCCAGTAAATAGGGTGACACACAGTGTTGCTTTGGGAAGGATGGACAATATGATGCACCAATGAGGACTAAGATACTCCAGAGAGAGAATACCTCCTGCTTGTGCCTGGGGGTTGTTTCGTGCTCCGGCTGGCAGCAAAGAGAGGGTTAAAAGTAACCAGCAGGGTCAGTCGAGGGAACTTGTCACAAACATCACAGTTAAGTCGATGGGCTGGTGGGGTGCAGAAGGACCAGATCCCCCCTCCCATTGCAGCACGGAGCTAAAACAGGCTGGGGTGTCCCTGCGGGATGGGGCGGGGAGCGGGTGTCCCGTGTGCTTGGCCTGTCCCCATCCCCACCCCTGTCCCAGAGCGGGGCTGCTCCCAGATCCAGCCCTGCCTCGGGATGAACCTTGAGACTACCTGGACACATGGGGAACCAGAGTTGAGCCGAGCACATGTGACAGCCCCCGTTCCACTGGTGAGGCCAAGTGCCATGTCCCAAGAATCCCACCAGCCCTCTCCAGCTGTGAGCCATCCTGCTCCCTCCATCCACCCTCCTCTGCCCGTCCCATCTGTACCTTCAGCTCCTTGATCTTCGTCGGGGTGGTCACCTCCTCATCCTCCGTCTCGGACCGTCTCCTGTTGCCAAACTCACCGTCCTCATCCCGCTTCTCGCCCTCCGCCCCGGCATCGTGGTTCTCGCTGACGGAAGCCGGGCGCGAGAACTCTGCCCATGGAGGAGAGCCCAGGTCACCCCAGCCCTGCCAGCCCCAAACCCTCCCCAGCCCCACAGCCCCTGTCCCTGCCCTGCCAGCTCACACCTGGGGGATCGGGAGCCTTCAACGCCCCACAGCAGGGGGCCCTTGCGGGGGGCCCATCCCTAAGCTGCCCAACCCCGTCCCCCTGTGAGGGTGATCTAAGCTATGCCATGGGGATGCGGCTGGGGACAGCCTCCAGCAGGAAGCCCGCTGGATCCTATAACCCTGCCAGATGGGGCGGACGGCATCCCCCTCACTCCCGCCAGCGACCAATCTCCCTCCCCCTCCCCAATTTGGGGCATACCTCCGTCAAGGCTGCGAGACATGGTGTACCGTTTGCTGGAGGAGCGCTCAAAGAAGGGAGCCGGGCGGTCGATGAGGGCACTGGCCTGCCGGGTCTGCGCCTGCGTGCGCCCGCTGTACCGAAACTTGGAGCCCATCACCAGGAATCCCTTGGGAGGCGGCTCCGGGGACACCAGCCTAGGCGGGAGGGAGGTGGAATGCCATCAGCAACCCCAGCCATACCCACCATGGATACCCATTGCATGTCTGCCTCCAAGAAGGGAGCCCGGGATAAGGTCTGCCTCACCTGAAGAAGGTGTGATGCTCTATGCAGACCTTCCAGAGACGCTTGGCGGAGCGGTGGTTGGGCAGCTTGAAGCCAATGGTGCTCTCAAACTGTTCGTACTTGGGGGAGACAGAGACATGCTGTTATAGGCAGATCCTGCCCTAAAGGATGCGATGGGATGCCAAGGCACTCAGGTTCCCCTGGCAGAAGCCATGACCACTCAAAAGGAGTCTTCTTCAAAGCAGTGCTGGGAAGGTCCATGCCCAGCCCCACTCGGTGGTGAGATTACATCCCAGCACTCCTGGCCTAAGCACTTTCCTCAACTGTAAATGGCTTTTTAGCACAAGATAAATTCCCTCAAGAAACAAAACCCTTTTAACAGCTCAACTTGGTGAGAAGGCATTACTCTCCATTTTAGATGCACTCTCCTTGCCCTCCTGCCTGCTGGGGAAGGTGGGTGGAAATGCACTCTCCCATCAGTGCACATCGAAGTGAAAAGAGTGAAAAGAAAGTCAGAAAACAAACTAAAAAGCATGTGAAATGTGGAAGACTCATCAAAAACAGCCCTCAGCCTCCCTTGCTGGGTGACCTCCCTACACCATTGGCCTCACAGCACATGCCTGGTGGGGGAAGGAGCCTGGGGTGCCCTCAGCCTCTTGAAGTCACTTTGCCAGTGAGAAAACAAGGCATGAACAAGAAAGCACTCGCTGAAAGCCTCCATCCACCCAGATGTGCTCTCCTGGCCAGCATGAGCATCCCCCTGGGACCGAGGCTGGAGCCAGGTAAGGGCATCCCCACCAGGCAACCGCAGGCCAGCACAGCGGGCACCCCGGGGCTGCACTGGCACATGGCACCCACCTCACCCGGGCGGATCTTGATGTAGAAGTTGCTCCTCTTGTAGGAGATCTTGAGGATCTTGGGCCAGGCGAAGCGGTTGATCCTCAGCCGGTCCCTGTAGATGAGGAGGCCGTTGGCACAGACACCCAGCATGATATCGATGCCTTCGGAGTCCTGCAGGAAGCAAAAGGGACAGGAGGGGACTACTCAGCTGCCCAGTAAGAACCAGTCCAGCCAGAAGTGCCACACTCCCTCCTGCTTGGTGCTCTGCTACAGGGGACTGGCTGACGGAGAGGTCACTGCACCACACAGAATGGTTGAGGTTGGATCTCTGGAGCTCCTCTGCTGCAACAGAGCCACCCAGAGCCCTGTCATTGTTGAACCTTCATTGTGTGAAGAGGGCTTGGGCAGGGAGGGGTGTGCAAACAGCAGGGCAGGATGGGGTGGCACTGGCCATTGCTCTGGCAGCCCCACAGCCCTGTACCTTGGCATGGTGTAGATCCACCCCGTACATGGAGAGCTTCTTGGCGTTCTCCAGGAAATGGATCTCCGCTTCCCCGGGGGTCATTCCCCTGCAGGGAGACAGAGAGGGGACACACGTGTTCAGGTACCCAGCAGGCACGAGGCCCCCAGCCCGTCCTGTGCCGGGGCTCACCGGTAGGTCTTGTGCAGCTCCATGATGCGCTCCTCCAGCTCCCGCGTCTGGTTGGGCGCAAAGCGGAGCTCGCTGACGTAGTTGCCCACGTGCTCCTCAGCATCGTAGTCCCCCAGCTCGGCCTGCACGGCGTAGGAGCCCAGCAGAGCGTGTGTGACGAAGGAGCAGGGCAGGCGCCCCGTGATGATGTCCGCACGGAGCTGCAGGCACAGGTAGTATCTGCAGGAGGGGCAGAGGGTGAGAGCAGGGCAGAGGCATTTGCCCTCTGGAGCAGGCTGGGGTTCCCTAATGCACCCCGGTATGCACTGCTCTCCACGGGGACTGCTACCTTCATGCTACATGGCCGCCTTCCTGGTCCTGTTCTGCATGAGTCAGACATGCTACATGGGCAACGAGCCCCCACACATCCCCTGGTTGCCCACACCCTGCCTGAGCCCTGCCCTTCCGTGCACTCCCAGCTGGTCCTAGCCCTGGCAGCTGTGCCCATGGAGGGATGCTCCTCACCTTGTGATGTCCTCCGTGAGCTGGGCAGGGTCTGGAGGGTAAAACTTCACAGTGAAGGCAAAGTTCCAGGGCCCGCCTAGGGGAGAGGAGGGGAGAGAGCAGTAAGGACAGGAGCATCCAAGCATCCACTAATGGTCCCACTGCTTTCCCCAAGCCTGGCACTGGGCAGGCACAAGGGGGCTCCAGAAGCTGCCAGAACAGCCCTTGGGTCACCAGCATGACTTGGTTAATTGTCCCCAAATGGCTGGGGAGAGAAAGGCATCACAACTTCAGGAGCCATCAGCTGAGCATGACTATCAATGTCACAGTGAAAACCACACGTTCCAGAAGGTGACACCTTGGGCAACAGCCCTTCTGCCACGCCAGCAAGGCAACAACATCATGGGCAAAGGCACCCCATGACCTGTTCCAAACAAAGCCCCCATCCCTGTCCTCACTGCTCAGGGCAGGTGCGAATGGCACCCAGAGAGGGACCAGGTCTCAGCCAGCTCTCCAGTGGCATAGACAGGGTCCCTTTGACCCCCATGCCTGTCATGAGTAAGAGGAGAGGTAGGTAACAGGCAGCAAGAGGATCCCTGTCCCCAGGCCAGCTGCCAAAGGTCCCACTCAGGACAGAAGTGGAAGGGGATTGGCCAGAGGACATCTGCACCCCCCTGGGATGCTCCAGGGCTGCGGAGGATGGACACTGAGCACTTACTGCGGATCTGCTTCTTGATCTCCTTGGAAGGGTCCAGCCAGTTCTGCAAGGGGGAGACAGCAGGTCAGGGGTGTCCCCCACCCACAGATAGGGCAGCCATAGGGGGTTCCCCCATCCTCACCTTCTGGCTGTCCGAGTCGCAGAAGGTGAGGCCGAAGTAGTCCTTCTCCAGGAGGTTGAGGTGCTCACACACCATGTCAAAGAGGATCTGGCCTCGGGCGTGCTTCTGTTGGAGACACGGAGAGCCTGAAGGTGAACCAGCTCCCTTGTGCTCCTGGACACCCGGTGCGTGCAGGCAGGGAGCACTGGGGAGGGTCAGGGCAGCCCTGGCCCCTCCTGGTGACCAGCAGAAGGTGCTGAGCTGCCTTTGAGAGCAGCCTCTCACCCAGCAGCACCACTCTGGGGACACTCAGGTGGATGCAGGGCACGCTCAAGCCCATGCAGTGTGGTACAGGAAGCAGGTCCCACCGGCCAGGAAGACCCAGTGCCCACACAGCTCATCCCCCATCACACCAGGAGACAGTGATGCCAAACCAGAGAGGGTGTCACACTGAATTTTGACTCCCTTTTTGACCTTAACTGAATTAAGCCTCCATTAAGCATGCAGGCAAGGCACAGCTATTCCCATGGGGCCTGAAAGAAAGGAAGAAGAAAAGCAGCACCAGCCTTTCTACACTAAACTCTCTCTCTATACCCCAGGTGGCTTCTTTAGAGAGCAGCAGCTCTCAAAGTTGAGCCCATCCTCTGCACTACAGCAGCAGAGAGCTCATCCTTGCCCATGCCTACTGAGGGGTATTGCTCTGTTCATGAAGCTGCCAGTGAGCCTGTAACCAGGTTTGTGCTTGCATGCCCGTTTGGCTTGGCCAGTGCTACAGAGAGAACCAGGGGATGGATGATTCACACCAGCTGCTCATGTGCCCCATGAGCCTCCTGCAGTCCTCGGGGTGCTTTCCACTCCTTTTCTTCTTCAGGAGGGCTTTCATCTCTGTGACAACCCATCTTTCCATGGCTTTGTGACAAATTTTACTGCTAAAGGACAGTCAGGGCTGCTGAGATCAAAGGTTCTGCTGCCTGTGCCACAGGCAGGGGGCCAGACCCCCCCCATCACTGGCTGTCCCAGGCAGCTACACTCCTTGCATTCATCAATCCTGAGCAGCCAAGGCCTGGGGGAGGCAGGACCTGCATCTGTATGCAGCCAGCTCTGAGCTGCTGCCAACAAAAACCCGTCTGCCCACTCCCCAGCAGCAAACGCAAAGCTCTCCCTGGCGAAGGCACCAGCAGCTCAACAACTCAGTTTTTACGTTCTTAAGCAAAGTTACCAGTCCCTAAAGATGCCCGTCCCACCAGGACGATGCCACAGGTCAGACCAGTGCCACCTTCCCCAACCCAAGGCAGGAGACAGGAGTGAGAGCTGGGGACAGAAAGAGGCACTCCTGGTATTTACTGCTCCTCCCATCTGCCTTTAGCCCTGCAGGATAGGACCCTTCCAATAGACCCAGCCTCAACTCCTCATTTAACCCTGGGAGAGGTCCCTGCGCTGGCAGCAGATGAAGCAGCCCTGCAGCATCCTCCAGTGCCAAGGCAGCTCCTCTTCTCCTCCTGTAGTGACAGCCACTACCAGGGAAATGTGCACCCATGTGCAAGCCCATGCCACACACCTGTGACACTGCACAAATAGTGGGGTGTGCTGGACCCCGCCTGCACACACAAGGATGCAGCTGAAGGATGTGCACGTCTATCACCCTTATACACACAACAACTTCACACACGATCCCTGTCCTGCTGGTTTTATATGATGAACACAGAGAGCATGGACACAAACCCATCTGATGCACACAGCCAGGAGGGCCCACGCCTGTCAGCCTCTTCACATGAACACACACATCCTTTGCCTCAGCTCACGGGACAGCCAACACGCTGTGCTCGAGGTGTCAGCAGACAGGCTGGCACGTGGATGTGTCATGCACATATTGCCAGGAGGAGCTCTATCCCCTATCTATTAAGCTTCTGCTTTTTAGACATTGTTTTCTATTGTGAGTAGCTGCCAACTTTGGATTCATTGGGCTGAAATTCCCTGCTAGGGTCCGTTTTTGCAGGTTTTTCACTTATTTTGACATTTCAACCTAAATGGCTGTTTCTGTGGATCTTTTTCTATAGGAGACACATACTACAAAGGTGTCCTTGGAAGCAGCCTTACACTGGGGACTTGCTTGTCTGAGGTGAGATGTGTCCTCCCCTTGGTGCCAGCGCAGCCCCTGAAGCTGGGACTCACCTCCACCTCGCACTCATACTCGGAGGCATCAAGCAGGGTCACTCTGCAGAGGGCACTCTTCACCTTCTTGCTGGTTTTCTGGGGTGACTTCTGGGTCTTGCTGGGGGTTGTTTTGTCAGAGAGACCATCCGTCTCGCTGTAGTCCTTCTCCTCCATGTCTGCGCCCTGCAGTGGGGAGATACACAGGGTTACTTGGCACCGCTGCCAGCATGGACAGGCAGATGGGGAAAGCCCCCTAACAGCAGGCAGCAGAGGAACAGCACAGCTCCCTGGGGGCTCTGAGGCTGCCATCAGGGGCACCTCAGTCCTGGGACATGGGACACCCACTTCCTCCCTTCCTGCGCTGGCCATTCCCAGCACAGTCAGCACCTTGAGCTGCTGCACTGCCCCTTCTGCCTGTTCACAAGGACCTGTGCAGGCAGAGCCCATCCATTGCCCTGAGCCCCTCCAGAATGTTCCCCTGGGGCCAGCAGCACAGAGCATGTGCCCATCTCACTGGGCTCCCTGCAGCCCCTGCACTGCAGCAAGGACATGGTGATGTGGAGCAGAGTGGTGGCATAGTCATAGAATAGTCTGGGTTGGAAAGGACCTTAAGATCATCCCAATTCCAACCCCTGCCATGGGCAGGGACACCTCACACTAAACCATGTCACCAGGGCTCTGTCCTGCCTGGCCTTGAACAGTGCCAGGGATGGAGCATTCACAGCTTCCTTGGGTAACCTGTTCCAGCACTTCACCACCCTCACAGTAAAGAACTTCTTCCTTAGCATCTATCTAACCTGAACTTCCCCTGTTTAAGTTTTAACTCATCACCCCTTGTCCTCTCACTACAGTCCCTGATGAAGAGCCCATTGAGGAATGCTGTGCTTTCCTCTCTGCTGCATCTAACAGCACGCACTCATTCACTCACCAGCTCTGTACTTCGGGCATCAGACTGTGCTCCAGGCTTCTCATTGACCTCGGTGTCCCGGCCGGAGGGGTTGGTGGCTGCGGCTGCTTCCAGCTGCTGCTGCGGAGCCTCCTCCTGCGCGTTCCTCACATCCGAGCCAGGACCCGTCTCCGTCGTCATGGCCGATGGTCCCCCTGCTCTGCCACTGCCACCACCCACAATGGAAGACAGGAGAAGTCACCTGGGTGCACGGGGATGGAGGATGCTGCTGGGCAGCCAGCAGCCTGGGATGCCTCAGATGTGATGGGACTTGCCCATCTCAGCCCCACTGCCTGCACACACAGATGTGCTGCCGGACACCCAGCTCCCTGTCCCTGCCAGGAGGTGGCTCTGCAAAGGGTGGTGGCAGCAGGATTCCACAGGACTCACTGTGAATCCAGCATCCTTCAGGATGCTGAGAACCAAATGGAAGTGGTTGGGAATGATCCCATGATCATTCATGAATGAGCTGGAAGAGATGAGCCAGTGGTGTGGGGATGGCCACCCGCCCTGGTCAGGGCTCCTGCCCCATGCCTCAGTCACAGATGGGAGTGGGGCTGGCCATAGCCCCCTGCTCCCCACAGCCCTCCACTGGTATTTTTGATGAGCAGAAGGGTTTATTCTGGGAGGAAACACCAAGCTGAGTCAGGTTAAAGGCTGCACTCACACAGGAAACGGCAAACATGGACATCTCCATACACTGCATCCGGGATGGCTGCTGTTTTCCCCCTCTGGAGCTCCCAGCAGCAACAGCACGCTGGGTTCCCACCACTGGCATGGCCAGACCCTGCACAGCGGTGGGACAAGGCTTGCCTGTCCCATGCAAGATGCAAAACCAAACCCCGGGTCAGGAACAGGGGAGGTGGAAGCACTTCCCGGGCTGGGGGGCTCTGTAATGGGGTTTCACCACCTTTATGGTTTGTAAACCTTTATGCAAATACAGCACGGGGCTGGCAAGTGCTCCGGGGATGATCCACACATGCACAGGACATCGAGCACCCTTTGTGACTGTCACTCATCTGCCACTCGAGCTGCCCAGGCCCCATCCATCCCCATCCAGCTGGGCACCCACCAGCATTCCCCTCCAGCCGGTCACCCACCAGCATCCCCATCCAGCCGGTGTCACCCACCAGCATCCCCATCCAGCCGGTCACCCACCAGCATCCCCATCCAGCCGATCACCCACCAGCATCCCCATCCAGCTGGTGTCACCCACCAGCATCCCCATCCAGCCACTCACCCACCAGCATCCCCATCCAGCCGGTGTCACCCACCAACATCCCCATCCAGCCGGTGTCACCCACCAGCATCCCCATCCAGCCGGTGTCACCCACCAACATCCCCATCCAGCCGGTCACCCACCAGCATCCCCATCCAGCCGGTGTCACCCACCAACATCCCCATCCAGCCGGTGTCACCCACCAGCATCCCCATCCAGCCCCACCACCTCACCCACCAGCATCCCCACCCACCACCACCCACCACACCCCACCACCACCCACCACCACCACCACATCCCCATCCAGCCGGTGTCACCCACCAGCATCCCCATCCAGCCGGTGTCACCCACCAGCATCCCCATCCAGCCGGTCACCCACCAGCATCCCCATCCAGCCGGTGTCACCCACCAGCATCCCCATCCAGCCGGTGTCACCCACCAGCATCCCCATCCAGCCGGTGTCACCCACCAGCATCCCCATCCAGCCGGTCACCCACCAGCATCCCCATCCAGCTGGTGTCACCCACCAGCATCCCCATCCAGCCGGTCACCCACCAGCATCCCCATCCAGCTGGTGTACCACCACATCCCCATCCACCTCACCCACCACATCCCCATCCACCACCCACCAGCATCCCCATCCAGCTGGAGTCATCCACCAGCATCCCCATCCACCCAGTCATCCACCAGCATCCCCATCCACCCAGTCACCCACCAGCATCCCCAAGTCATTCTCCTCAGGGCTGCTTTCCCCCCACCCATCCCAAGCCTGTGCTGGTGCTGGGGTTTGCCCCGACCCATGTGCAGGACCTTGCACTTGGCCTGGGTGAACTTCATGATGTTCACCCAGGGCCACGTCTCCAGCCTGCCAAGGTCCCGCTGGGTGACATCCCATCCCTGTGGTGCATCAGCTGCGCCACTGAGCTCGGTGTCCTTCACAAAGCTGCTGGCTTTCCTTTACACCTCACACCACAGCTCGTGTCCCACCTCTGTGGCCTCGGCACAAAGGGGAGATGCTAAAGGGGAGAAACTGCTAAATCTGGCTCAGACAGGAGGCAAAGGAAGGGAAAGAGCAAGGCACCCTGCCCAGAAGCAGCCTTGTCCCATAGCCCATCGGCAGCGACACCGCAGAGGGACCTGGTTCACACCAGGAGCCAGGATCTCACCCATGCTGACAGGACAAGCTGCCACCGGCCCCTGAGAAACATCAGCTCCGCTCCTCCTACGGAGCCCAGGGCCCGGCTGAGGGCACGAGAAGATTCCAAAGGTCAGCAGTGGTTTGTTTTTCCCCCAGAGGAAACAGGGCTGCTGTGAACTGAAGCAGTGGCGCGCTCCCAGCTCCGGTTCCTGTGCGGATCATTCCCAACCGCTTCCATTTGGATGCCGGCATGTGAAGTTTTTCATCTTTAAAATGACAACCAGCACTTTGGGCCAAAAGCTTTCACACTGGAGGTTTCCAAGCTTTCTTCCAAATCGGTTTTTCCCCTCACTGGGAAGCACTGAGGAAACGGTGGGGGATGTTTAAGAGTGGCAAACCAGGAATTTATCCTATCTCTCCCAGCCATTCCTGTCCTTTGCCTATGAAGCTCCAGCTCAATCCTTCTGACAATAGGCAAGGGACCTGATCCAGGGACCAAATGAGCACACAACACAGGGTGCCAAGGTGGAGGAGCCCCATCAAAGGGGTCTGTCTGGCAAGCCCCTGGGTACCATCTCCGGCTCCCATCATGGACTGGCTTCTCCTGCCACTGTTCTTTGGGATCCCAACCACTGACACCTTTCCCAGGTTCCAGTACAACTCAGCCCAATGGGGACCCCAGCACCACCATTCCTGCGCCTTGGAAGGGAGACCAGGCTCTGAAGAAACCTAAACACCAATGAGTGGAGCGGAGGGTCCCATTGAGCCCATCCCTATGGCACTGCTCCTGCCCCAGCAGTGTGGAACATGGGAGGAGGGAGGAATGAGCCCCTCCATGCTCCCAGGGCAGGATGCGCTCAAGGAGGAGCAGGAAGCCTCTCACTCTCCCCTGCATGGGGCTGCTGGGGTAGAAGGGTCCAGGAGATGTCCTGAGGAAGATGGGGATGGCAGGGAAACCAGCGACCTCAGGGGCACAGCACGGCTGCAGCTGAGCCCTGCAGATGTGCATGGTCCCAGCACGGGCCGGGGGGGTCACACTGGCACTGCCGGGCCCAGCCACAACGGCTGCATTCAGGAGCTGGTGCCGTGTCCATGTGGGCAGCGCTGCTGCCTCCGGTCCTCTGCCCACGGTGCAGCTGAGCAGAGAGGACGGGAGCATGGAGCTGCCTGCAGCACTGCCACTGGCCCCAGCACTGCTTGCATCTGCGCCTGCTGTTCTTCCCACATTCTCCCATCCCCTCTGTGCTCCTTTGGATCCTGGCTCTCCCTCTATTCCCCAGCCAAGGACCTCTGTGGCCTCCAATACTGGTCCCTCTTACACCCCTTTTCCTCTTGGATCTTCTCTATTGCCACGAGTCTGGGGTTCCGTTGTTCCTCCTATTCCTCCACTATCCCTCCAGAGCCCAGCTCCTCCTATCCCCAGTATGCCACCCCCCCATCCCCTGCAGATCTCAGGTTCTTTCCCCCACACCCCGGGTTCCCTCTTCCAGGTACATCCTGCAGTGCAGCCCCCCAGGAGACCCCAGTACGGGGGACCATGGACTGAGAAAGGACATGGGTGCCAGCATGCTGCCAAAGGGACACCTCAACTGACAAACTGTCGTCACAAACCTTTAGTAGAGTTTTTGACCACGACTGCAGCAACCCTGATTGAGACCAGTGGAAACGCTCTCCCGAATCTCTTGCTTCTAAATATCACCCACAGCAGGAGCAGCACCCGACCCTGGCAGCCTGGCCGGGCATCCCAGCCCTTAGCCTTGCTCATGCTTGTTCCCTTGGAATTGCAGCAAGGGCCGGAGCAGCTCCACCTGCCCAGGCAGCAGGAACCATTCCCCAGACCCTTCCTCTGTGCAGGGTGCTGGCTGAAGGACTCCTCCACACCCAAGGGTTTGGCAAGGGCTGGCTCGCTTCTGCTACAGCTGGACCCGAAATGGGTCCAAACCGAGGGATGCTCTCCTCAGGGCAAGAAATGGCTGGAGCCATTCGGGGTTCTGGGTTAGTGAAACAGGCACATGGGAAGGGTTGACTGCAAAGAAAGCCTTAGCAGGATCCGAAGTAGACCTGCTTGTCATGCCTATAATCTCCTCCCATCATCTCTCTGCCTGCTCCTCCTTCCCATGGTGTTTTCCTCTTTCCTCCCTTCAAGCTGGAGTGTGGATTCACGGCTTTCCCAGACGCTCTGCCCCCACACTTCCCCACCATATCCTGGCTCCAGCCTCCGCAGCACTCCCCCCACAGAGCCTTTCCCTCCCTCCCACCTCCAAACAGGGTTTTGCCTGCGCCTGCTTCCCCTTCCCCATTCACTCCCTGTTGATGGGCTGGGTTTCCAGGCTGAGCCCTTTGCTCCTGGGCTTTGCTTTCCCCCCCTTGCTCCTTGCCAAAGATGCTGCCCATCCACAACACTTCACTTGTAAAGCATCACAGACAGGGGCAGGCGTAAGCCTCTGTGCAAAGCCCCATGCACTCAACACCCGTGCTATGGGGCTCAGGTTGAGCTGGCAGGGGACAGGCAGGATGAGAGCAGAGGCAGCAGCTTGCAGCCATCCTGGAACCACGAGAGGAGTCCCAGTGGGGAAACCTGGGCATCCTCCAAGGACACATAGAAAGTGAACACGGAAAACGGTCCCCAAGGGCCCGGCACCATGCAGCCCCCTGAGCCCCTCTGTCACTCGGTCCCTGGCACTGGGGGACATGCAAATCCCCGGACTGCTCTGCAGTGCATCAGGCAGCCCGGAGAGCAATCCGGTGCTGCTCTGCAGCAGGGCCAAGATCCCTGTGAGCCACCCTGTTTGTGGTGAAGGGGGGAGAAGAGAAACGCAGCGCATCCGCAGCGTCCGGTGCCTGCACAGCGCTCCTGCTCCAGGCAGAGATCTGCACTGCCCCAAAGTGTTCCCGGCTGGAACAGAGCCCCGGCCCCCATCCAGGCTCCAGGACCTGCATCCCCCCCAGGCTGCTGCTCCCCGCACTGGGCCCCGCTGCCAGCTGCACCCAGAGCATCCCGCGGGGCCAGCCCTACCTTGGTGCCAGCTCCCCATGGCTCCAGCAGAGCTCATCGCGGCCAGGCTGCCTCCGCGTCCGAGGCAGCGCCTTCTGCAGAGCCGCCTCTTCCCAACCCCAACACCCCCGTGCAGTGATTGATGTGCACCGCAGCCACAGCAGAGCTGGGAACCAGCCTGCTTTCCCACCCCACTGCCGGGCTCCCCCCTCGCCAAGAGCTCCGCGTCCGCAGCGCAGCCCCGTGGCATGGCAGGAGGGTCCCACATGGATGCTGCTGCCTGCCCCATCTGCACCCCTTGCCTGCAAACAGCCGACTCATTAAGGGCAAGGCACCAAAGAGCCATCACAGGCTGCGATCCTGCCAGGATCCTTCCCTTTGCATGCACTGTCAGGGAAGGGAGGGCTCGTATTCTGCACTGGCTGATCAGCAAGGAGCCGGACCCACTGTACATCTTCATCCCAAGTTAATCTGGCACTTTCTTGCATCACCCCTGGCCCTACCTCTTACATGGGGTTCTAGGGCAGCAAACACTACACTGCCTCCAAAACACCATTCCAAGCACCCCACTTGCACTCCTCAGCTTGGAGATGCACCAGCAGCAAGAGCTGAACAGAAGCTCTTTCATCACCCTTGTCCACAGTGAAGTGCAGAGCGTGACACCCAGCACATCCCTACCTCCAGGGCACGATGCTCCTTGTCCCTTGAGGGACAACACTGGGGCTAGGTAATGCTGCAGAGCTGCCTTGTACCAGGGAGCACGCACCAGCTTAGACACATGCTCCAGGGCGCACCAAGCCATCGGGAGCCCCAGGAGAAGCAGCACAAGCCAGGCAAAGTCTGGTGATTGCTGGCAGAGTCCTGGCAGGCTCCTGCCATCAGGAGGCACCCACTGCGTGGTCCAGCCACACTGAGCCTGAGTGCGCTGGATTCAGAGGGAGAAAACCCCACTGGCAAGGGGGTCTCAGCTGGGGCAGCCTCAGCATTCTCAATGGCATCTCCAGCTCGTCCAGGAGGTGTGGGGTTGGGGGCCACCAGTTCTCTGCTGCTCTGCACCTCTCCCACTGCAATCAGGGCTGGTATCACCCATTTGTGAGCACCCACAACTGCAAAACCTCCTTGTCTGGAGCAGCTGCACGAATAAGGAGGAGGAGGGAAGTGTCAGCAAGCAGAGGGAAGAGTCAGCCCAGAGCTCAGAGAGGAGACAAAACACAGACAGGAAAAGGAGGGCGGAAAAGAGATTGTGGCAGACAAAGACCCCGAGACCTGAGCCGTGCCCCAGGCTGGACCTGACGTGCAATGGGAAAAACCTCATTCATCACCTTGTGCACAGCCCCTGTGCCCCAGCCAAGCTCCCTGAGCCTGAGGAGCACTGCCCAAAGCAGGAGGGCAGCAGCAGGAGCCTCTGGAAACACTCTTCTCCCTGCCTCCAAAAACTGCCACTGGTGAGATGCGATGCACTGGGGAGACAAGAACAGCAACAGGTTTCAAATGGGGTCCTGCTGGACCCTGTGCCATTAGTGCTTGCACTGCACCCCATCAGGGACCTCACTGAAATCCCAGCCACAAGGAATGTATGGCCGGGAATGGGGAGCAACGACACCCCTGTGGCTGTGCAGCCATGAGTCACATCCCCACCAGTGACAACAGACTGAAGCAGGATCAGGACCCCAAGAAACCCCAGAACATCACTGAATCAGACTAAATGACAAGAGCACATGCAGCCCATACCTGCCCATCTCGGGGTCAACATCCCAGTGACGATGCAAGTTCTGCTGGGACAGCAGGGGCAGGAGCACACCAGGGAGCAGCCTGTCTGACAGTGAAGACCCACAGCTCCAACAGGGAGCAGGAGGGCCGAAGAGGAAGAACCCTCTCCAATGCGTAGGAATATCCACCCCTGGATGCTCCCAGGCTCCTGTGGAGGACTCACACCCCATGTGGGTGCCCAGGAACAGGAGAAAAGAGCTTTTTAGCATCTTCCAAGGCAAGGGCACTCTGAGGCCTTGGAGATATTGAAGGCTTGCAGGCAGTTATCAAAGATAAATGTTTTAAAGGCTGAAAGGGACAGAAGAGGGATAAGAGGGTGTGGGAAGAAAAGGCAAGTCCAGGCGCAGCGGGGCAGGATGCAGCACATGGGCTTCCCTCCTTTCCCTTACCAGCACTGACCTTCCATGTAGAGGACACCATGGGACACTGTGGGACACAGCGGGGACTTGAGGCCACACAGGCAGATCTGGGGCTACTGTGGGGAGAAATGGTGCCGAGGAGAAGGTACCATGTCCACCTTCATAAGCCCCACATGCTCCTGGCCCCCCTCTCCTCTGCTATCCGCTCCCCATCACATCCCCCAGGAACCAGGAACTGGGATGCCATCTCCCTCCAGCCCTGCCCCGGCTTCACCCCACACACCAGACAATCAGTTCTCACGAACAGATTTACCCCGATGCCTTACATCCTTTATCCCTGCATTGCTTGTCGTTCAGCAGCAGTTAGCTCTGCCCAGGCTGCCTTCCCTGCCTGCTTTACATTCACCACTCATATATAATGCACGCATTATACACGTTAATGCAGCATCTTCACTGTGCACACACACCATGCACCATTACTTTAGAAGGTCCAAGTCCCAAAGCCACCGTGGTGCTGGTCCCCAGCCGTGCACAGAGCAAGCAGCACTGCAGTGCCTGCTCCTGCACCCAAGTCCCTAAACCGTAAGTGCAGCATAGCTGGATCCCAACCATAACCTGGAAATTTCCATGCTCTGAGGCATTTTACAGATATGCAAAAGGACCAAGGAGGTGTCAAAGGAGCCTGAAGAAGTCACAGGGCCGAGCAGGAGCTAGAAATAGCAACAAGGAGCCTGGGTTACATGTGCTGGGATGACCCCATCAGGCTGCTCATCGCAGAGAGCAGCCCTCCAATGGTTGCTTGGTGGAGACAGATGGCAAGAGGTTCATGGCCTCGAACAACCTTTGTTACCTGCCTCGCTAAGGAAATACTTGACTAGTCTCACTTCAAGACATATCTGCAGCAACAGCATTTGTCTCCCTGCAGAGCTGGGGAGAATCCGTCCTTTGGTATCTGAGTGCCCGGACACACAAAGCAGGGACACGCAGAAAACTCCTCAATGACTTGGAAAATGGAACTAAAATAAACCCATCCCCAGGCTCCAGCTTTGCTGCAGAGTGCCTGGCCTGCAAAAATCCTTCACAAGGAAAATCAGAGGCTGGAAAGCACCGACCTGGACATGCGTGCACTGAGGATGCAGTACTCAGCCTCCAACCCAGCTGTGAGTAAAAGCATCAAGGACAGGGCCAAGCCTCTGAAGAGGATTACACCTGCGGGCAGTTCTGACAATCCACATCTGAGGTTGAGGGTATCCGAGTCCAGAAAGGACATTCAGAACGTTTTTGAAGCGTGACAATGGAGCTTGTCCATCACCCTCCAGTTGGCTCAATGGATTTACAGTTGTGCTGTAATGGATTTGCATGTGCTGGGGGTCACCTGCTCCCCACCAGGAAAAGGGAGACAGGCAACCCCAACTTTAACCTGAATTATGGATTCAAGGAGCCCTGCAGTGAGGTTGGCAGGACCCAGAGGTACCTTTCCATGGCGGGGAGGGAGGTCATCACATCCTGCCTGCTGGGTCACGGGAGGGCAGAGATGCTGCCTGCGACCAAAGCAGCCCCAACCAGGCAGAGGGTCAGGACAAGCACGGCTGGATGCTACCAGCTCACCAAACCCTGTGCCCCGGGTGATGCCAGGGAGGGGACCAAAAGGTGGAGCTCCCTTTGCAGGCGCAGCACATCTCTCTCCAGCGGTGAACCTCCCAGCCAGGCTTGGGAACCGCTGATAAGATGAGGGAAAACAACTTCTCTCCCTCCTGTGGCGCTGCCCTCCTTCCAGACAATTAATTCCAGCCCTGCAGCAGCCGTGTCTTGCAGCACCGCTGTGATTCATCGCCAGCGAAACGCTGACTCAGAGGTGAGGCTCCGGATGCGGCTGACGCGGGAGCCCCGGTCCCCGCAGCCTCCTGCGCGCTCGCTCCCAACACCCCTCTCCTCCAGAACCCCAACCCGCCTCTGCAAGCCCCAGGGAGGCTGCAGCAGCCTGCGCTGCAGCAGGGAGATGATGCTTCAGGAAGTCATTTAATCCCACTCGGCTCAACGCAGGGAGCAGCTCCATCCAGACTGGCCCTTATGAGCCTGTAATAGTCTCCAGTGGTGGAAACTCCTCTCCCTGCACCAGGGCTTTATCCTCATCACATTAAAGAGGTATTCTCTGGCATTTCATCCAACCTCCTTCCCTGTAGTTCTAAGGCTGTGGTTGTTACTGTCCCGATGAGCCAAAGCAGAGCTCCTGCCTGTCCACTGTTTCAAGCTGTGCGGCTTGCCACCATCCCCAGGCCGCTGTGACCCCTCCATGGGAGCAGCCCCACAGAGATCTGGTGCCGACATCAGCCCAGCTCTGCATGAAGAAGAAGGCAACACCCATGGTAGCTCACTCAGGGACAGCATCCCTCTGTGGGTACCATTCAACAGCAGGAGCTGGGAAAGCGCCTTCTCAGCTCCCAGCCTTGGTCCTTCCCAGAGGTTCTGTAGACCCTCAGAGGGCAGCAGGGCTACAGAGCCACTGAGCCAGGGCAGACAGCTGCAGCACCAGCCCCTGGAGCTCCTCTCTGCTCAACCCTTAGGAAAGAGCCAGCAGAGGCATGGGTGGATTGACACCGAGCAGGGCTGTGTCCAAACTGAAAGCATTTGGTTTCTCCTCCTGCCATCTTGGCTGTGCCATAAGGGTCCACGTGTGCTTGCTGTCTGTAGCTGGATGGACCTTGGGGTTCACTTCTCACCTCTGCCTGGCTCCTGCAGATCCCCGCAGGCCAGGACAGCAAAGCTTTGCAGTCGCAGCACTGAGATTTGCAGTTGGGTGTGTAACCACAGCTCCCAAGGACTCCTCATGCCTGCTCACTTGTGTCAAGCCCTGCCTCTATGTTCCCTCTTCATGTGCCATTATTCTCTCTGTCCCTCAGGTCAGTCACACAGATGGATGTCCTAGCATCCTTTCCCGGACAATCACATCTCTTCTGATGTTCTCCATTTACAGTAAAGTAGTTCCACCTCTGCCTCACACCAAAGGCATCCTCTAATTCCCAATGACCTGGCTCCTCTGCCCAGCCAGCACTTCAATACGCACACAAAG